GGGTGGATGTGCCCTTTTGTCTGCCCTCTTGAGTGGTGAAAACGAGAGGATGGCCCCTTTTGACTGCCCTCTTGAGTGATCAAAACAAGACGATGTGCCCTATTGGATGAAAATGAGCGGATATGCCCTTTTGCCTGCCCTCTTGTCCCCATGTCATGCAGTAGGTGCCCTTTTTTCCTTTTCGCCCCTGCCCTTCAAACATCCTGAGACTGTCATTGACTCATTTACTACTAAAAGTCCTGTGTTGTTTTATTGATTGTAGCCTATGATCATATTTAATTAGACAATTGGAACTAGCACATGCATCATATTGTTATTAGTTTAAAAAAAAGTCAGAAGTATAAAGAACAACACAGTCATTATAAATTGAGGGCTGAATGGATGGGTCATACAATGTTCATGTCTCATGTGAAACCAAAAGTCAACATTTACTTATTTGAACTTATTTTAACCCAAACCATTACTTTTTCTCCACCTACAAAACTGTGACCATTTCACAACACTGCAGCCATTGACAGCTATCTCTGTATGTATATATGTATGTATATATATATATATATATACATATATATTGTGAATTATTTCCAGAAGGTTACAGTATTATCACCTTAAAGACTAAAACTGGATTATTTCAATTTTACATACTGCAAAATCACAGTAATCCAATGTACATAAACTGTAAAGTTACAGTTAAATACAGTTTTACAGGAACTTACTGTTATGTCACAATATTGTAATGGGATGCAACTGTGAAGTTACAATCAAATATAGTAATTTTACGAAAGCATACTATTAAATCACAGTAACATGCAGGTATAACTACTGTTAGATCACAGTATACAGCTGTCATTTCACAATAATTTACTATAAAAATGATACAGTAACTTACTGGGAAAGTAATGCAACTAGTAGCCAGTAACTTACTGTAAATGTACAGTCAGATATTTTACAGTGTATTCTTAAAGCTATTGTTTGTACCAGTGGTATTCAATATTCTCATGGAGACATTCAAACATGTTTGGTGCTCACTGGAGTCACTACTGAATTACAGTATTCCTTTTTTCACCTACAATATTCCCATGAAATCATACACTTTTCTATTAATATTACAACTTTACTGTTCCTGTATTTATTATAGGTCAATACCAATCTAGTATAAAACTTTCATTTTTTGATCTGTTTGTATTTTGTATTTTGTATTTTGTATTTCTGTTATATTATTCATATGATATTGCTTAAATTATCCCATCAAATATGTGTAATATTGTTTATATGTTGAGGTTCAAGGATTTCATCAGTCTCATCATAAAATCCACATGAGCACTAAAAGTCTAAAATATGGAGAAAAAAAAAAGACAGAAATCCAGAGTTATTTACTGTATGTGATTCTACACTGTGACTTTAAGGTGACCTTTATAATTCTCTATATTGTAGTAAATCTGCAGTAATATTCCCCCTGGGACTGTTGTAGTGAGTCTATAATGACTCATCACATACTGTATTTTATTCTGTAGTATCACATATTCATATATTGTGGTCTGCAGTATTCCTTTAATGTTTCTATTGTAGTTTTAATGGAATCTATTGCTCAGCAGTGCTTCTTGGACCTTTTATAGTAAATGATATCATTGTAACATCAAATTAATGTTTACATAATATTCTGAATGTGTCTTAAAGGTGCATTTTTATTTATCCTTTAACACATACTACACTTTGTAAATCATTCCTCGAATGTATTTTATTATTATTGTTGTATTTTTTATATTCCTGAATTAAATATCTATTAAATAGTAAATACTTTATATTTTTGTCCTTGTGAATATGATTTTTTCCTTGCATAATCCTGTTGTTTGAAATTTTAAATTATAATCATGTTTGTTTAATATTATTATTATTCTAATATTTAATGTGCATGGCTTAATGAGAGAGAGACACCCCCTCCTCTACCTCTCTCCCTCCCCAATGTGTCTCCCGGTGTCTCTCTACCACTGTATGGAGGTGGCATTACATCATCTCAAACTTGCAGCGCTTCCTCTCTGCAGCACGTATGTTAATTGTTATTATTATTTTATTATTCAGCCAATCAGCTCCAGACAAGGTCACCACAAAATCCATGAATGAACCCCACATATAATATCCCCAGTGTTTCATTCATTTAATCCGCTTTTATTAACAAAAATCTGACATTTGAATTATGTTTCCCCGGGGCTGTTTTAAATTAATAAATATTTAATATGAAACAGAAATTTAACAGTTTCAATATCTTTGTTTATTTCTTGTGTCCAAAAGCAGCGTTTTAAACTCACATTCTTTACATGAAATAACTACAAATTTCTAATTATTTTTGTAGATTTTATGTGTTGTTTCATCACCTGCTCCATTTTCATCCCAAAAAAACACGTGTGATCTTTTTATTTTTATTTTTTTATTCCGCCCTTTTTAAAATATATATATTTCCATCCTCCCTCCAGCTTTTATTTATATGTATCTCTATTTATTTGTTGTTATTTTTGTTTCTGTTTTTTTTTCGTTGAAACCAGGACAGTCCCATCACGCGCACATTAAACGGGGACGCGCAAAGCATTTTTCGTTCACGCCTCCCATCAGGCACGCTCGCACTCATTCACCCCACCTCCACACACACACACACACACACACACACACACACACACTGTTGCCTGCAGTGCATCGATGCCAAAAGCAGCGTGTTGTAACTTCCAGCAGACACACCCACCTCCGACACACACGAGGCCATTTTCGCGCGTAAAAATACTCTAAAAAGATATACAAATTTCGACCATTTCACAACAATGAAAAAATTCTATGAAACATTGATTTTTAAATCACTGCTGAGAATGTTCTGCACAAGAGTTACTTTAGAATGCATATAGCTCCAAAGACGTCTTTTTGAATATTTGTGCAGCAGATCTATTTATTGCAGCTTTAAAACCACCCCTGAGATTTAATGAGACGGTTTGGGTGTGAAATGTGTTGCAGCAGCGCGCTAAATCTCTGCTCGCAGCGGCCAATCACATTGCACAATTCAAATAAAATAGAATAAAATAGTAAAACCGGAGAAGGCTGATGACAGGATGGAGACTTAATTCCACGCACCCACCGAAGTCCTGTCTGAGTAGGAGGCTGGTTGGTTTCAAGTAAATGGGAAAGGGGGAAATTCAGACTAATTGATCGATTTCATTGGATTTCCCTGCATGTATCAATTAGTATGTGTGGAATAATTCAGCAGCTTTTTGCCCTCATTTGGTTTCATTTTCATTCTCATCTCGTTTCAGAACGACTGAGAACGAGAATGAGCCAAACAAGCAACAGACAGACATTTCTATTTATTTCTCATCTAACTCTGCATTTATTGTTTCTATTTCATCCTGATTTGACTGGTTTGTTTCTCCTGAACCCTCCGGACCGTGAATATCAAACCTCTCTCTCTAACAATAGCACCGGGGAGGATTCTGCGTCTTGAATAATTCAGCATTTCTCTCTGCCACCAGCATGTACACACATATACACAATCAGAACTACACACACACATGCAGAGCCCTCCTCCACAGCGTCGTTATGCAATGCAACAGCACAAAACAACAACCACATTCCTCTTGTTTCATCTCACATATTGCAGCTTTTTCATTTTCCAGATATTAGACGGATCCGGGATTTCTCTCCTCTGCAGGAACTGTTGCATTAAAACCATTAAAGCTTCATGCAGTGTTATTATCTTTATAAGAAAAACAGTTAATTTACATCTTATTTTTTTAAAAACATAAAACAAAAAAATCGTGCAGTTGTATTTTCCATCGTGCACGAGGCGTGTGCACGGTTGCTAACCCGAGCAAGCACGGCGAAAATTGACGAGATTAATGAGGTCTGTCAACCGTGTTTTTCGTTCTTTTCGTTTTTTATCAGACACATGAGATAAAAATGAAGATGATATTAATAAGAAAATGTTTTAACGGCTGCTTCTCATCCTCTAGTTTTTATTCCCGGACAGCGCGGGTGTGACGGTGCTGCTGCCTCCCTGCAGCTCCGCACACTGCGGCGGGAAGCACGAGTCCTACACAGCCGACAAACCCTGAAAAACAAGGCTCCAGCGGGACATTTATAGCGTCTGGTTTCTGTACATTTTTATTCCGGTCAAACAGCCGTTTGCAGACATTCAAACTAGCCTTTTAATTCCTTTGTAGCTTCTTAAACACCCCCGCAAATAACACCAAATTTAACCCGCTTGAATAAAAACATCAGTTTTTATTTTTCTTTTAATATAGGCCTATTAAATCTGAGAAATAAATTAATGTCTGCAGATGAAAAAAAATCAACAAATGTCTTCAGTTTTGGGACAACCAAGGTGCAGAGAGGAGGAGGGGGAGGGGGGGGCATTCCCCTTGTTAGCACACACACACGCACACACGCATGCACACGCACCCACTCGTGTCACACACACTCCAAATGTGAAGTGTAGCCCCGTTAAAATGAGCCGCTGCTGCTCACATGTCCCCACTGCTTCATTACGAGCCACACCAACAGGGACACATCCGGCAATATTAACATTAAACATCATTTGAAAAATAAATTAATATCATTAAAAACGAATTTAAGTGTGCAAACTTAAAAGTGACCGACATTTAATTTGTGATTTAAGCATTAACCTATTCTTTATAGCCTCTTTTTTTCGGGTGCTGAATTGAAAATAAGACATATGCTATATTTTAAAAAATCGCTTATAGAAGCGACTCTAACTGTTTTTATCCACCTTAAAATATGAGTAAAAATATTAAACACCGGTAAGTTTCAAAATGAGCCTAAAAAACGACATTATTTGCTTTTAAAAATTAACGATTCCCATCCTGGTAACCAGTAGAAAACAGATTTCAGGACACAATCCAAGGAAATAAATACACAGATCGTAAAGTATGACTCTACATCTTTTTGTTGTATTTATATATCATAATACTAATAAATAATATGGATAGTTTTTGGACACTCACCTATGTGTAGAGCTAGAAAGAGTGCGAGGCATTTGGAGGACCAGGTTACTCCCATCCTCTGCGTCCTCCTCTCACCATTAGAGCAGAGATTCAGAAAGTTGAGGAGGAGCCGCACATTCCCCGCAAAACACCCGCAAAACAGTAGCTATATCCAACACACTCTTCCTCCTCCTCCTCCTCTCCTCTGCTGCTTCCTTCTTCTTTTTCTCTCCTGTCTTTCGTCTGTGTATGTGTGCTGGTCTTCTTCTTCTTCCTCTTCTCTGCTCTCTGTCGTGCTCCGCTCTGCGCTTCCTGCCTGTTTTTACGCGTCTGGAGAGAAAAAAGAGGAAGGAGAGAGAGGGGGGGGGGGGGGGGGGGGGAGGCCCCTCCTCTCTCTCTCTCTCTCTCTCTCTCTCTCTCTCATTATGATTTCATCACATACTTTTTTTATCATACCCTTCATTCATTTCATTTATTTGCTTTTATACCTCCAACTCACAAATACTGAGGTCATGAGTCCTGATATTAAAGCTAAAATTGTATAATCATTGGTAATCATTTTTTCCCCCTGTAAAATTGTTAATTTACCAACTACCAATTATTTTATCAAGTTAACTCATGGGCGGATTATGAGACAATGAGCCCCTGAGCTCAGATATGCAAAAGGCCCCACCACCTGTCCTCCATAGGAGCAAGAAACACAGACTTTGTGGTGCCTCTGTTTTTGTTGTTTTGTGTATGTTTGTATTCATTATGCATCATTTGTGGTTTTGTGTCATTTGTGGTAATTTTGTGTGTGGTAGGCCTATTTTGTGTCTCCTCATGGTAGTTTACATCTATTTGTGGTGGTTTTGTGTCCATTTGTAGTTCTTCTTCTTCTGCATCGCTGTGGTTGTTTCACATGTCTTTGTAATTGTTTTGTGTCTCTTTGTGGTTGTTTTGCCAATTTTGAATTTGTTGTTTCGTGGTGGGGGGGACATGGCCCAATATTATTGTCTTTAAGAGGCTGTGGTGTGCTCATTATTTCAAGTTAGCCTTACCTAAACTATTGTTTAATATTTTTCTTTTTTTTTTACAAAATTAAATTTGTATGAAAATACACATTAACATGAACCCAACATATTATTGGCAAGATAATTTTGCCTGTTCATAACATTTAAAAAAAATATTAAATACACAGCATTGTTGATAGGCTAACACCTGACCACACTGCCTGTGTGAGCAGTACATGAAAGCTACTTTGCTGAACTGTTGTGGCTCGCCCACATGAAGTGGTCACACAGACAGTACTGTTGCTGCACTGCTGCTGCAACACTGCATGCTGCTGTGCTTCCACAATAAAAAGCCAGTACTCCATTAATTTATGCAACCGTGCAGCCACTGCATCACCAACAACATGGTCATGACAATATTTAACAGTAAAAAGCCTTGTGTTAACAAATAAAACACTGTCAGGTGGCTTTTGTTTTGAAACAGAAAGTGTTACAATAAAAAGAAATACATATATTTTTTCATGTCAGACAGATACACACAATGAAATGACAGGTGGTATAATGCCAATATAATTATTAAAAGACCATTTTCACCATTTATTTTTACTGGAAAACATGCTCTTGCAGAAAAAATAGTTGAGACTCCTACTTTCTAGGAGTTCCACAGCTGAGCACCAGCCAAGCTGCGCCCAAGCAGTGTTGCCCACATGGGCAGTGTGGCCACTCTAATGTGTTACTGTAACAGGGGCGCAGAAAAAAAACCCAAGAAAAACCAAGAGGTTCTGCAATGCACATGTGCTGCTCATGCAGGCAGTGTGGCCTTGGCATTATTGTTGCCTATGAATCCTTGTCAAATGAATCCATGATATGTAAATGTATGAATCTGTCAGTAATTATTATAGTGTTGTACACATGATACAAAGATATGTTTATACATGGCACTATAGCTAGCCCTACATGTTGATGCAGGCCCAGTTTAATATGCATCTCTGTTTTAGCTGAGGGGCCTTTGGCCTGCCAGACCCCTGACCTAAAGCATCCATTGGTACCAACCATGCCAATGCTCAAAAGTTGGGCTAAATTTTGGCGAGGGAACAACTGGCATGGCTAATTTCAAAGGAGTCCCTTGAACCTTCAACCCAAGATGTCTGTATGAGAATGGGTTTTATGGGAACCCACAAGTCTCCTCTAAACTGGAGAAGACTTGTTTCCAGTAAATGTTCTGTGTGCTCCTTCAAATTAAAGCTGTATAATTGTCTTTTCAAGGAAACAGACAACCAGTCTATTGGAAAAACAACAAATCACCTAACATAACACATTAAAACGGGACTGTTGTGAAACTCAAATTGTTAACTGTACTGGTGTAATAATAGTTTTCAGTTTGCCCTTACATAGTAGTTTCTTTATTTTAATAGCATAACAGATTTCGTAAATGCAGCTATGGCTTTTGGTTAAGATTTTCAGTGGCCGCATCATGAGACTTACTTGTGACTTGCAAAACAAGGACTTGGTCCCACCTCTGGAAAATCAGTTAGTCCTTGATTGTTGGAACATGTAGATTTGATTTTCATTTACTAATTAAGTCAAAGTTCAGTCAGTAGCTTTTTCCAGAGCTTGTAACTGCATTGTACAGCCTTCATCCATTTATTCATTAATAGAAAACAAAACATACAAAAAACCATGAAATGTGCTTGAAATGTTTATGCCACTGTAGATGAGAAGTCATTTTAGTGCCCAGAAAAGAAAAAAAAAGATGTTATGATGACTCCATCAATGATCTTGAAGAAGACTGTGTTGTGACCAAAAAGAATAGAACAGCTACTAAATAGACCTTGAGGTATGCACATATTTTAAACTTAACTTTAAAACCTGTTAACACCTCAAAGTCTTTATTTGCAGATTTAATCATGTTTTTAGCATAAAGAAGCTTTTTGATATTTCTTTAAATTCACGCTCAATGGCCACTTTATTAGGTACACCTGTACAATCAGATGTGTCTGTGCTGACATGAAGTTTTATGATACCAGTGTTCAGGGTTATTTATTTGTTTGTTAATTTTTGTATGTATGTTCATGTATGCAAACACAATAAGAACACCTCTGTCCAGTTCAACACCACCTTTAACTACGACCTTATCAATAAACATAAAATTGAATTCACAAATTTCTGATGGCATCAAAAAAACAAAACAACTGACAATAGTAAACATACATATTTGACATGTTAGACATGTTGCATGTTTCTGTATCTATCATATATTTAAGCAAATTACCACACAGCTGACTGTCACCCTGGGACCCCCTGGTGGATCACATTTACATCACATTTTCTTCTGGTGGCTCTCTGTTTAGGCCTCTGTAGGGGTTTACAGGTCAACAAAGGGAGCCACATGCACTGCTGTGGACATTTTTGTTTGCTTTTTTTTATTGTTCCTCTATTATTGTTCTTCACTTGCTTTCTTACTGGATAAATAAACTTTAAAATATTGATAGGATAAAAACATATTTTATGGGGGAGAAGTATAGAAAGCCCATTTCTAACAATGATAATAATAATAATAATAATGATTATTATTATTTATTATTATTTATTATTACTTATAAAGCTCTTTCAAAAGAGAGTTACAAAGTGCTTTACATGTCAATAATTGAAACAGAAAAGACATCAAAACAACAATTTTTAAAAGAACTGATAAAAACACTTTGGTATGTAAAAACTGAGGAAATAATAGACAGTCTAAATGAACTTAATTTTTAATTTTATATACTTTATTAATCCCTGAGGGGAAATTCAATTTTTTCACTCTGTTGTCAATTACACACAGGTCCAAACACACACATGCACAAACAGGACCTATACATGCACTAAGTGGAGAGATGTCAGAGTGGGGATGGCCATGACAGGCACTCCGAGTGGTTGGGAGGTTCGGTGCCTTGCTCAAGGGCACATCAGCAGTGCACAGGAGGTGAACTGCTACCAGCTACCAGTCCACGCTCCATATTTTGGTCTGGGTGGGGACTTGAACAAGCGACCCTCCGGTTCCCAACCCAAGTCCCTATGGACTGCACTAAAATTGGTCCCAGAACAGACCCCCGAGGCACACCGTAATTGAGAGATGAAAGAGAAGTGGTTGTTGACAAGACACAAAACCTGTTCATCAGATAAGACGAAGACCACTCCAAAGCTGTACCAGATATCCCCACCCAGTGCCTTCTGTCTAACAGGATGTTACGATCAGTGGTGTCAAAAGCTGCACTAAGTTCCAGGAGTACAAGGACTGAACACATGCCCTCATCAGCAGGTATTAAAAGGTCATTGGTAACCTTGAGCAGGGCAGTTTCAATGCTGGGATACATACAGATGCCAGATTGAAACTTTTAAAAAATGCTGTTATTTTCTAATACAGAGAGTAGTTGTCCAGAAAACTATTTTTTTCTCAGATGTTTTAATGTAAAAGCTAACTTGGAAATAGGTCTAACATTTTGAGGGAGAGGGATCCAGACCAGTTTTTTTTAGCCAATGTAATGGAAAAAGACAAGATCCTGTAAGTCATAATAATGATAAACCTTCTTGAAACAAGTATCTCAAAATAATGAGAGACATTGTCAAAACAAGGACTTACTTATCTCATAATGATGACTTAGTATCTCAAAATAATGACTTCATATTTCAAAATAATCAGAAGCTTTGTCAAAATATGGACTAATTTATCTTATAATCATGAATTAGCAACTCAAAATAAAGGCCTTATTTATTACTACTACTTAATATTTTGAGATAAAGTCATTTTTTTTGACACAGATTCTCATAATAACAATGTAAAGGATCTTGTCTTTTTTCACTATAGTGGCTGTTATTTTGTTTGTTTTAGATCATTGCAGCACCATCCAATAATAAGATTTGAATTAATTGGTTATTTATTATTTTACTTTCTAAACCTAACCTACGCAAATCTATGCTGAGTACGTAACTTTACATTAACAATGTAACATGAGGATCCCCAACTATGTTTCTTTTTCGTTACCTAATGTACATAACTTTAATTTTACTTTCCTAAACTTAACCTACACAACTTTATGAAAGTACATAACATGACAATGTCCAAACTTTCCCAAACCCAACCTATGTTAGTTTACTCTCCTAAACCGAACCTGCATTACTTTACTTTCCTAAAACTAGCCTACATAACTTTACTTTCCTGAACACTAACCTACATAACTTTACGTCATTAAATGTAGCCTTACTCTCCTAAACCAAACCTATGTAACTATACTTTCCTAAACCTAACCTACGTAACTGTACTTCCTAACCCTAACCTATGTAACTTT